AAACCTTAAGGGAGCTAGTCCCTTGCTGCCCTCTGCTGTCCCCCTTTGTTTGCTGACCTGTTCTATTGTCTTTATTTATAACTTCATGCTGAATGCCTTTTATACATTTACTGTTTCCAACCCTAGTGTTGCAACCTGCTTGTTTCCCACACACACCCATACCTCTATCTTCCATCAGTTTAAAATCATAGGCATTTCACCAATGGCCTTCTCAATCGAGTCTGCAAGTGCTACCACCCCTGCCCCAGAGAGATGAACCCCATCCCTTGCATACATATCATGTTTGCCATAAAAGTTGTTCCAGTTGTCAATGAATGGGATTGCAAGTTCCTTGCAGTATCTGTCTAGCCAGCAATTTACACCAATTGCCCTAGACAACCATTCATTTCCTACTCCCCTTCTAGGCAAGATGCTACATATGATTGGGATCCCTCCCTTAGACTTAATGAAATCTATAGCTGACCTGTACTTATCTAGCAGCTCTTCTCTCCTACCCTTCCCAATATCATTTCCACCAGCACTGAGACAGATAATGGGCTTGTTCCCATTACCTGACATGATATTATCCAGTCTGTTGACAATGTCCCCAACACCAGCTCCAGGGAAGCACACTCTATCTCTCATCTTCTTATTCCTATTACAAAAAGCACGATCAACATATCTTACCTGAGAGTCACCAACCACAAGAATGCGCTTACCTTCATTAGCAGGGGCAGTAGTACCCTTACCTTCACTGGCCACTGAAGTACATTCATCCTGGAGAACAGAGAAGCGATTTCCTACCTTCAGATCTGCACTCTTAACTTTCCTTACTCTGATGCGCCTCCCATTACTGTGAACAACTCGCCACTTGTAGCAGGTGCTGGGCTGCACCTCACTGCTGGTAGCCGTTGCTACCACCCCACCTACAGCCTCCTCACAGTGAGAGACAGACTGCACCTCACTGCTAGAAGCCTCATTCCCCACATCTCCAACCACCTCACACTCTCTCCCAGGCCCATTGAGGTGGACCTTCAGCCTCCTAATCTCCTCCTGGAGAAGCAAGACCTCCTCCTTCAACTCTCCAACCTCAGCTTTTAAAACACTGTAGAAGCAAGCCATGCTTTGTAACCGTCCACGCTAATCCCCAAGCAGCTCAGGGTCTGTGACCTCACGTGACGACTGACCACTGAACACTGAAAAAAAAAAAAAAAAAAAAAAACATTTGAAACAGGGTACAGTATGTCCGTAGAGTTCACTGCGCCGTGTTTAGAGTAGCTCGGTGCATCAGTGCGTGTGTCTGTACTCACCTAGTTGTGGTTTCAGGGGTCGATTCATAGCTCCTGGCCCCGCCTCTTCACTGGCAGCTACTAGGTCACTCTCCCTGCACCGTGAGCTTTATCTTACCTCTGCTTAAAGCTATGTATGGTTCCTGTCTCCACTACATCGCTTCCCAAACTATTCCACTTCCTGACTACTCTGTGACTGAAGATATACTTCCTAACATCCCTGTGATTCATCTGTGTCTTCGACTTCCAACTGTGTCCCCTTGTTGCTGTGTCCCATCTCTGGAACATTCCGTCTCTGTCCACCTTGTCAATTGCTCAGAGTATTTTATATGTCCTTATTATGTCTCCCCTATCCTCCAGTGTGTGTGTGTGTCTGTGTGTGTACTCGCCTAGTTGAGGTTGCAGGGGTCTAGTCCTAGCTCCTGGCCCCGCCTCTTCACTGCTCGCTACTAGGTCACTCTCCCTGAACCGTGAGCTTTATCATACCTCTGCTTAAAGCTATGTATGGATCCTGCCTCCACTCTATGTGTGTGCGCGCGCGCGTGTGTGTGTGTGTGTGTGTGTGTGTGTGTGTGTGTGTGTGTGTGTGTGTGTGTGTGTGTGTGTGTGTGTGTGTGTGTGTGAGACCGACCTACAAGCACAGAGAAACAAATATGACTTTGGGAGAGCTGAGTGTTAGTGTACAATGTAGGTGGTGGTACTGGAAGGAGCTGAGTGCGCTTGATGTAGAGGGTATTGCTGGGAGGAGCTGAGAGCTCTAGTGCACGAGGTGATAGCGCTGGGAAGTGGGAAAGAGAAGCTGTTTATGTACCAGGATTAGAGTCCAGTTAGCAAATGTTAATGATTAACTCTAAACATGCTTATTTCTTTTACTAGTTAGGACTAGTGTTTCACGATAATAACTTTGCTATTATTTATTGGGCAATTTAAATTTTCTCAAGAACATTAAATTTGTGAAGCATTTCTTCATATATTTCATCAAAAAGAAAGAAACAATAAACCATGGTTATTTTTTTCACTGTAGAGCTTGCACCAATTTTTCTTCAAAAAAACATTTATATATGGTGAATTTCACTGACCAATCATATTGGGTATCGAGTTTTACAGGCTTGGTTCATGCCTCAAAAATATAATGTCATGCTAGGGCATGACGCTACATTTTGAAAAAGCACGAGAATAAAAAAAAAATTTAGATGGGAATACGATTTTTGTCTTCCCGGTTTTCTGATAGTTCTTTTAAAAGTCGTTGAATGTCGGAAAATCGATTGACTACTAACACTGAACGACGTCTTCGACGTAATGACGCATTAAACTCGTTAACTGTAATATTTACCCTAGAACTCACATATAGAACTGAGTTCATTAATTTCACACTAAATGTACTCCACAAACTTACTATTATCTCACCAAGTGGATTCCATCCTCTCACTACTTTCTGGCAAAATGTATTTCACGCGCTCACTGTTTATTCACAGTGTTCCATGTATTCTCTGATTCCTCGGTAAGTGCGTTCCACGCGTTACTGCCCCACCAAGTTTTTTTTTATTCGCACACTTCCCCTCACTACTTTCACATCAAGAGCATTCCATGCACCAGTACCTTTAAGCCCTTGACCGTCTCTTTTTGTTAGCCACAGGTTACCTTGTGTGGATCTTACACACACACACACACACACACACACACACACACACACACACACACACAATCGGACTGTGTCATGCCTTTTTTATAGTTAGGAGTGGATATACTCTCCACTAGTTCTCTTCCAAATAATTATATTTTGTGTAGCTCTGGTTTATTTTAATTTTTGGTTTTCGTCAATGTCTCACTGTTCTGTTCCTTCCCGTGTCACAGTTCATCTCATGACTGACTAGAATGATGTCTGTGAAGACTTTATGGGCTATCATGCTTTGTTTTACTTCACATTTCTTCGAAGTCGTGAAATCAAGTTTTTACAGAGGTTTGTCGTAGTTTCTCTCATTTTCAAAAACAGTTATGTAGAATATTAGTATTTTAACTTTGTTAATTTTCTGTATTAAATGAAGGTTCTGCATTGGCTCTGCATACTCTAGAACTGATCTCCAGTTTATAGTGACGAACGATTTAAGAGTGATTTCTTAAAATCTGAACAAGCGTTCTTAAAAAGTCACTACATATTAGTTTATTTAGACCAGGCGATGACTAGGTGTGTGCTATACGAAACAATGGTGGAGACTCGCTCCTATGCTACTCGCGATGCTGGCCAGGAAGAGTGGGTGTAACGTCCACAACAAAATTCGTTTCCATACTCGATTTCGTGAGTCAGGTCTCCTGTGTTCTTTTGTCTCTGCCCGTAGTTAGGTAGCACTCTGCCTCTGGTTTCCACCCGGGCCTCCTCGTCCAAGTTGTACTCAGCCTCTTGTCTCCTCTCCGCAGTGGCCGACTCTCTCATTCATTTTCTCATGTTGGAGTTTCTTGAAAGGGATCCTTACTGGTGGTGAAGGCTATAGACAGACTTGAATAGGTATAACAGAATGGATTAAATAATAATATTAACAGTAATGAACAAGAATTAATGAAACTACTAACAATAACTTCGGCATCCCACACAATTTCTACCAATATTAGTGGGGGTTGAACTCAAATAACTTCTACCTCTGTATCCTGTGTAAGTCGTCCCGCTGTTACTTGTATGTTAGTTACCAGTTGTCAAAGGCCTTTGTAGACAGATACTTGACCGGCTTTGCTTTCGTGTGTATGTTTGTGTACGTATGCATGAGTGAGTGCCTGTACGTGCACGCACATGTGTGTGTGGCCCTGCAATAGAGGCTGTAAATCATTCGTGATGTGCTGAAGGGGGAGGGGAGGGTGATCACCCGGATGAGAACTAGCAGAGAGAAGTAAGAGATATTAGTCCAGAGTTTAATCACACGTTCTTAATGGGAACATGGGCGAGGTTTTGAGTGGGATCTGACTGTGCAATTGTAGCGGGTTTTGAACGAGGTCTGGGTGTGCAGGTGTAGGCGGGTTTTGAGAGGGATCTAATTCTGCAGGTGTAGGCAAGTTCTGAGATGAAACTGTGTGGGCAGATGTAAGCCAGCTACGTCTGGAGAGAGGCTGCTCGTAAAGAGGCAACGTGAGAGCATTAAAAGACACGTAAGTTTCCCCGTGTGTTGTAGAGGTCTGAGCAAAGCTCAGACCTCTACAACAGAATTGTCCTCAAAGATTTGTTAAGTTATACCATGAATTAAGGATCCAAGACTTTACCTTACCAAACAAATCAAATGCGATAGTAATTATGAACAAGCTAGATTATAATGGAGAAACTGAACAAGTTATTAGACGACGGGGGAACTTACGTGCCCCTTAAGACTGGCAGATGGTACTCATGATTCTGGTAGAAAATACGATATTCAGAGCAAATCTGTACTGACGACAAACTGCTCATCATAGAGCTTTACAAAGTCACTAAGCGAAACATCACCAGAATAAAGACCCTCTCTGCAGACACTCTCTTTACTAACGTGGTACGAGACGAGAGTAGTTCCTTAGTAACACTGAAGGTTATCACTTGTACAGGAAGAAGTTTGCAGTTTTAGGCAACAAATTACCATCATTAATTGCAACGTTCTTCTCGAAAGTTTATCTTCACTCTCTCCTGTATAAAGAATTTAGTTATTCAGTCTGTATAAACTCAGAGTAGATCAACTGTGACTGGTCTATGGTAAATAAAAGCAATAAAGAGAATCCGTTATTAAAACCTTTATTACAGAACACTTGGAGGGCGAAACATTACCAGTAGGGGATTTTGTATACTTCTCTCTTCACCTTCCAGTCTGACTGGTGCGACGATCAGACGGAGGATCGAGACTCCACCGCTCCCTGAGCTGTTTAATCAACACCATTTTAACGAACTCCATCTCATCGTCCATTTCAATGTGTGTCTCGCCGAGTTCACCCTTCACGGGGTACTGATGGGGGAGGATGCTTTGGGGAAGCGCTCTTGATCCAAGGAATTTAAGCTGCTTTATCATTCTCGGATCATTTCCCAGGTGTTGTACGAAACCTAGGAGAATCAAGCTTAATAATAATAATAATAATAATAATAATAAAATATAGAGCATACACTGTAGTGCTTTTTATTTCACTAATACCATAGGCCATCACCAATAATGTAATTAGTCGGAAAAGCGAACGTAGGATCAAGCCGACATATTTTTGCTTGCCCAAAATAACCAGTACGCGTGAAATGCAGTACAAAATAATATTATAATCCAATGTAATACAATAATGCAATACTTTACAATAAAATGCTATACACAGCAATACATTAAACTACAAAACAATTCAGTACAGTGCAAGACAATACATCCCACTCGCGTAAGACAATGGGCAACTAGATGCGCCAACAGCTGACGTATCGTTAGTTACATATAGATTACGATAACCTGATGTAAATTTGATATAAATGATATGATAAAAATTTGCTCCAAATCTCATTTAATTTTACTATCGAGTACCAGCAGATTAAAGATGATCAATCACATTAAAGTGCAATAATAAGTTGGAAAAACTCGTTCTGGGATTATCATCAGGCGGTCGCAACACAAAGTGGTTTCAGGATGATCACCAATAGGACGTAGGATCCAGACGTTGAAGGATTAACTTGCTAAAGAACAAACTAGTTGGATGAAAAACGAGCTGCAGTACCAACAGGTCTCAGTACTATCAGGCTGCAGTACCAACAAGTTACAGTACTATCAGGCTGCAGTACCAACAAGTTTACAGTACTATCAGGCTGCAGTACCAACAGATTACAGTACTATCAGGCTGCAGTTCCAACAGGTTACAGTACTATCAGGCTGCAGCACCAACAGGTTAGAGTACTATCAGGCTGTGCAGTACCAACAGGTTACAATACTGTCAGGCTGCAGTACCAACAGGTTACAATACTGTCAGGCTGCAGTACCAACAGGTTACAGTACAATCAGGCTGCAGTACCAACAGGTTACAGTACTACCAGGCTGCAGTACCAACAGATTGCAGTACTATCAGGCTGCAGTACTAACAGATTACAGTACTATCAGACTGCAGTACTAACAGGTTACAGTACAATCAGGCTGCAGTACCAACAGGTTACAGTACTATCAGGCTGCAGTACCAACAGATTACAGTACTATCAGGCTGCAGTACTAACAGGTTACAGTACTATCAGGCTGCAGTACTAACAGGTTACAGTACTATCAGGCTGCAGTACCAACAGGTTACAGTACTATCAGGCTGTGCAGTACCAACAGGTTCCAGTGCTATCAGGCTGCAGTGCCAACAGATTACAGTACTATCAGGCTGCAGTACTAACAGATTGCAGTACTATCAGATTGCAATACCAACAGGTTACAGTACTATCAGGGTGCAGTACCAACAGGTTACAGTACTGTCAAGCTGCAGTACCAACAGGTTACAGTACTGTCAGGTTACAGTACCAACAGGTTACAGTACTATCAGGCTGCAGTACCAACAGGTTACAGTACTATCAGGCTGTAGTACCAACAGGTTACAGTACTAATAGGCTCCAGTGCCACTTAGAAAGTGGCGCAAAATCATTTGTCTCCTCATGAATTGACGAGAGTGTAGAAGTTGTAGCAGGGGCCATTCATACCCTAATATAATACACGGTGATATATCAAGCTTCTCAACCCAGATCATAACAATTTCACAACGTACGTCCTTGTTCATTATGGGGCCACTATGATTATGCAAATCGTCCCTGACTGACCAGTGAGCTTCACCATGTTGTCTGAAAGTCGCGTTTATAAACTATCGAAGCCTTCAACTCCACGGGGAGGCTTCGAAACTGTGTATAATATTAGCCAGTAAACTCCTGATGGCAGGAATGATATAAAAAGTCCCACTAACACTATACTGCAGCTACGTTGAACAGAGGGAAGTTCTGATACGATCCTTGCGGTAACTGCCCATAAAAGCCAAAATTACCCCATCGCACAAGGGTTGTATATACTGATTACAGAGTGGTCTCTATTGATCAGTTTGGATGCGTGGTAAAGGTGGTGGCCGCTGGCAAAGACTATAACCCCAGAGGAACACGCAAACTTCCCACCACCTGAGAATAGAACATGCAAATGTGGTCCAATGAAGCTTGGTGGTGCAGTTTCTTCCCGGCCACCGCCACACCTCAGCTCCGGCACTTAGAATGCGCCCGCATGAATTTATGCTTTAATAATTGGTGCTAATAGATCCACCTGCAGAAAGGCTGGGCGAGGGGCAGCCAGGAACGTCGGGCACTAAAAAACGGGACAAAAAAAGGGGCAAGGGAGGAATAAAAAAGGAAATATGTAAAAAAAAAAAATAGTGAGCTATAGTTAGTGTGTGATTAGCTTTATTAACTGTGGGGGGAGATGTTCTGTTGATTCACGGCATTGTGGTGGCTCAGGTGGAGCACAACTAATAGCTTAAATAGTTTCTATGAGGATGGTAGAAGGGGGAGTGATGAGTGCTGTGTCTGTGTGTCTTTGTAGGTGAGTGTGTCTGTAGGTGTGTGTGTATGTGCGTGTGTAGGTGAGTGTGTGTAGGCGTGTGTGTTTATGTAGGTGTGTGTGTTTATGTAGGCGTGTGTGTTTATGTAGGTGTGTGTGTGTGTGTAGGTGTGTGTCTGTGTATGTGTGTCTGTGTAGGTGTGTAGGTGTGTGTGTGTGTGTGTGTGTGTGTCTGTGTAGGTCTGTGTGTATAGGTGTGTGTGTCTGTGTAGGTGTGTGTGTCTGTGTAGGTGTGTGTGTCTGTGTAGGTGTGTGTGTGTCTGTGTAGGTGTATGTGTAGGTGTGTGTTTGTGTGTAGGTGTGTGTGTCTGTGTAGGTGTGTGTGTGTCTGTGTAGGTGTGTGTGTGTCTGTGTAGGTGCGTCTGTGTAGGTGTCTGTGTTTATGTAGGTATGTGTCTGTGTAGGTGTGTGTGTCTGTGTAGGTGTATTTGTCTGTGTAGGTGTATGTGTCTGTGTAGGTGTGTGTGTCTGTGTAGGTGTGTGTGTGTAGGTGTGTGTGTGTGTGTTACACAATTTTATATCACAATATGCAAAATAACCACAGTGAAAAAGTAGTGAAATTCCAAACGCTTTCGTGATTCCTCTCATTAACAATCACGAAAGTGCTTGGAATTTCACTATTTTTTCACTTAATATATATAAATATATATATATATATATATATATATATATATATATATATATATGTCGTGCCGAATATGTAAAACTGGTCAATTAGCAAGAACTCATTTAAAATTAAGTTCTTTCTAAAATTTTTGTCTTATACATTTAAAGATATATTTTTTTCATTAATGTTGATGTAAAAATTTATAATTTTGCACGAAAAGGAACTTGGAAAACTTGCCTAACCTTATCATAACAAAAGTAATTTATTTTAACCTAACCCAACTAAATATATTTTAGATTTGTTTACAATAATTTAATACTAAACAAACACAATGAAATATATTTTTTTCGTTAGGTTCTGAATGATTTTGGCGAAATTATTGCATACACAAATTTTCACTTCTCCTATATGACATGATGAGCGTTGCTATTTAAGCCAGGATCGCAAGTTCTGCCTATTCGGCACGACATATAATATATATATATATATATATATATATATATATATATATATATATATATATATATATATATACATATACATATATGTCGTACCGAATATGTAAAACTGGTCAAATAGCAAGAACTCTTTTAAAATTAAGTCCTTTCTAAAATTTTCTCTTATACGTTTAAAGATATATATTTTTCATTAATATTGATGTAAAAATTTATAATTTTGCACCAAAAGTAAATTAGAAAACATACCTAACCTTATTATCACAAGCGCAATTTATTTTAGCCTAATCCAACTAAATATATTGTAGATTTGTTTTCAGTAATTTAATGCTAAATAAACACAGTGAAATATATTTTTTTCGTTAGGTTCAGTATGATTTTGGCGAAATTATTGCATACACAAATTTTCACTTGTCCTATATGGCAAGATGAGCGTTGCTATTTAAGCCAAGATCGCAAGTTCTGCCTGTTCGGCACGAAGCACACACAATAATAATAATAATAATAATAATAATTATATATATATATATATATATATATATATATTTATATATATATATATATATATATAATATAAATTTATTATATGAGAGATAATGTATATATATAAGATATAAATACATTGGTAGAATATTTCAAAGATTATGAATCGGCTGAAGCTCCTCTGAAGCTGGATGTGGACCAAGTATGCAGTAAGCATTTTCTCTCTGGATGGTCACGCTGAGGTCTTTGAACATGAAAGTGGCCTCCTTCGGGTCCCTGGTGGTGTCAATGATTCTGGAGCGCAATTCTTTGAAGAAATGTGCTGCGTTTTTACCCTAGGATCCCAAGATCTCTGATCCCACGTGCTGATCTTGTACTCCTCCCTGTGATCTGCAGCACCTCCCCGTTGCCCGACACTGTGAATGATGTACGTGTCAGTCAGTGTCGACACATAAGAATAGTCCCATGCTTAAGGTTTGCCATTCTTCCGAGGATAGATGGTGATCCCGTCAGGGTGGTTTGTGGGCTGTAAGGGGTCGGGGGGGGGGCTCTCTCGACTGGGCACCCAGCTGTAACAAAATTTTTTCTTTTTCGGACCACCCTGTCTTAGTGGGAAACGGCCGGTGTGTTATATATATATATATATATATATATATATATATATATATATATATATATATATATATATATATATATATATATAAATGTCGTGCTGAATAGGTAAAATTGGTCAATTGCCAAGAACTCGTTTAAAATTAAGTCCTTTCAAAAAATTTTCAAAAATTTTCTCTGATACGTTTAAAGAAATATTTTTTTCCATTTATGATAATTTAAAAATTAATAATTTTGTACCATAAGAAGCTTAGAAAACTTACCTAACCTTATTATTACAAACACAATTTAATTTAGCCTAATCCAACTAAATATATTTTAGATAAGTTTACAATAAATTAATAATAAACAAACA